ATTTTTTGCTAATTCTTAGGCCTAGCTTTTTGAGTTTTTTTGTAATAAAGCCTAATTTGGATTAAAATAAAGTCAAAGTGAGTTCAAATAAACCCAACATAGGTTAAATAAACTCAAAGTGAGTTTAAATTAACTCAACGTGAGTTCAAATAAACCCAAAGTGGCTCAAATTAATATGACATGGGTTCAAATAAACCCAAAGTGGTTCAAATAAACCTGAATTGGGGTCAAAGAACCCAAATTGGTTTAAAAAATTCAAATTGGGATCAAAGAACACAAATTGGGGTCAAAGAACCCAAATTCGAATAAAAAGACACAAATTGGGGTTACAAAACCTAAATTGGGGACAAAGAACCCGAATTGGGGTCAAAAAACCCCCAAATTAGGTCAAAGAACCCAAATTGGGTTTGAACGAACCCAAATTGGGTTCCAACGAATCCGAATTGGGTTTAAATGAACCTGAATTGGGTTCAAACGAACCTGAATTGGGTTCTAATAAACCCGGATCGTATAATTTCGAATTTCGGCCTAAATTAAGCTTAATTCGAGCCGAAATTCGAAATAACGCCTATGCATTATTTTATAACTATATGGTATACTTTTTATTATTTTTGAAAAATGGTTTTCTTTTACTAAGTAAACCTCTTTTCGAGGTCTAAGTAAAGTTGTAGAGGAGCATCTTGCGATCAAAATGGCGGTAAAAACGTTAAAATTGACCTGTGGATCAGGAGATATAGGCCTTTTCGTCTTCGCGATTATATGTTTCTTCTTTATATAAATAAAGAAGAAAACATATAGTTGCGAAGACAAAAAAAAAAGCTTATATCTCGCGATCCGCTAGGCCGATTTTAACGTTTGTACCACCATTTTGGTCGTAAGACACTCCTCTACAACTTTACTTAGACCTCGAAAAGAGGTTTACTTAGTAAAAAAAAACTCCAGATTCCAAAGAGAATTGCAAATATAAAAGTAAACACACTTTGTGCAACAGTATCTTTGCCAATCCTTATGTTCGCGCCTTTAGCTAGTGTTCCGCAAAATGGAACTGAATACCCGGACCCGAACCGGAACTGGGCTACGGTTCGGTTCCGGGTCCATAATTTTTAGATTCGATCAATTTCGGGTCTTAGTAGGCAGATACCCAATGGACCTGCATATGTTAATTACCTAATCTTTGGCCAATAGAATGTTAGATATCAAGTGATTAAGATCTCAAGTTTCTTATATATTCTGTACGATATACCAATTTAATTATTTTGGAAAAAAAAAATCTGAAGACGTGAACTGAAAATTGTCAAGTCTTTGGAGTTGACTACAACTCTAAAAAAGCCTGAAGAAAACCTTGACACCCAAAGCTGGTATTGTGTGCAAATTTTAGTTCATGAATTAGACGCTATAGCATTAGTAATGTAGACAAAGTCTTACTAATAAAATCTTGCGATTTTTAAAAAGGCCTTAGAGAACGCCTAGATAACTGGTGTTTTATATAAACCTTTATACTGTGAATTAGCTGTGTGAGACGGATGAGTGTAGACAAGACCTTATTAATAAATATTTACATAAAAAAAAAAAAAAGATAAAAAAAAAAAAAGATAAAATAAAAAAAAGAGTCTAGAAATAATCTACAGCTGGTATTTGTGTGAGTTTTACTTTGTACATTATTGGATCTTTTACTATTGATAATAGTAGGTAGAGCATCATGTTTAATAAAAAATTTCAAAAAAAAATTTTTTTGACTTTTTTTTTTTAAGCTTTTGTAAGGTTGATCTCTCCTACACCATCAATTGAAAGTAGTGAAGCGACTTGCTTAAATGAAGTTAGAACTAGCGGATCAAATGAATTGACATCTGTATTATCAGCTACTACAAATGAAGGATTATTTGTGTGGCATTACTTTAAAAAAGAGGGAGCCTCTGCCAGATGTAATATCTTTAAAAAATTGTTGAAATATGTTGATGGATCAACATCAAGTCTAATAAAACATCTCAAGCTTCGCACTCACAAACATAAAGTGCCAGAACTTAATGATAAAAAGTCTTCTATCTCTGTCTTAAATATATTAAAAGGTCAACAAAATCGTGAAGAATTTGATCAAAATAAACTTAATAATATGGTTAAGTGATGGATAATTACATATAATCGACCATTTAACTTAGTTGAAGATGATGGTCTTAGATCGATTATAATATATTTAGAACCACAAGCAAAAGGTATGTATATTACAAGCAATACAAATGAAAATAGAGTCTTAACCATATGGTCAAGATTTTATTTTTATTTGGTATTACCCAAATATGAATGTATCATAATTATAAAATAATATTAATTTAAAAAAATATTATTTAGTGCCCTCCGCTGATTTAATTAAGTGGCATATAATGAATGTTTTTGAAAAGGAACGTGAAACACTTTATAAAAAACTACAAGAAATTGTAGAAGGTATAGCAACAACAACAGACATTTGGACAACGAGTACATATGAAAAATCATTCATGACAATTACAATTCATTACCTGGATAAGTCATGGAATATAAAACACCTATTGTTAGACTTCATTAATATAGATGGACCCCATATAGGTGCAGTAATCGCTAATGCATTTGAAAACTGTATTCGATCAATGGGAATTCTTTCAAAATTAGTAGCAGTGACGCATGACAATGCAGCTTCAAATATTAAGTTTTTATCTGAATTTTCAAATTCTGTTGCGCAAGATAGGTTTCAATTTGACTACATGCAGCAGTCTATTCGATGTTTTGGTCATATTTTGAATATTGCTATGCAAAGCATGCTTAAATATACAGGAGATGAATTAGAAAAACTACGTGGATTAATTAAGAGTGTAAGAGGCTCACAAACACTTCGCAAGAAGTTAAAAATAACATGTCAAATACATAATATACCCTAATTAAAACCGATTCTTGACGTAACTACCAGGTGGAATTCTATCTGTGAAATGGTTGAACAAGCATTGAAGTTGCAAAATGTGTTAGATGCTATTGTTCTTGCTGAAGACGATTTGCATGAGCATTTTTTTACTAAATCTGAATGGAATAAATTAAATCAGCTTGTTAAAATTTTACAACCATTTAAAGAAGCAATGATTGTAATGTCATCTTCTGAATATCTGACATTATCAATAACTGTTCCTCTTTATTATGAATTACTTAAAGTGCTTGAAGAAACTAAAAAAAGCAATAATATACCACTATGGCTTGTTAAAGGATGTGAATCTGCAACTGAAAAACTTTTAACCTATTGTAAAAAAAACAATATTTTGCATTTGTCAGCTATAGTTTTGGATCCATGATTAAAATTTCAATACTTCGAAGAGCTTGGGTGGCTAGTACAACTTGTTAATCAGATTAAAGAAATGTAAATATTTATTTATATTATATGAAATACAGTACTGTATATTAAAAAATAGTTTAATATGTAATTTATTATTTTAGTGTTAAAAATAAGTATGAATATAGTTATGCACCTTCTAGTCAAGATACGATTGATCCACCTATCGAGTCACCTCCAGTAAATATTACGATGCGAATTTTTAAACGAGCTCAAATAGAACATCAAAGTGAATTAGAAGTATATTCGATGATGCTGCTTGTAGACTTAAACAAAAATATTTTAGAATGGTGGCAAGAGAATGAAGTAAATTTTCCAAATCTTGCTAAGTTTGCTAGAGATTGCCTTCCAATACCAGCAACTAGTGTTCCAAGTGAGCAAATGTTTAGTATAAGTGGGGATATGGTTACTGATAAATAAAATAGATTAGATAATAAAATAGTAAGAACAGCAATGTGCTTAAGATCGTAGTGGAGGGAATTTCAAAATTAAACAGACATGATGTTTTATAAATAAATATTAAAAATAATGAATAAATTGTGAAATGATAATTTTATTTATTTTTTACTTATTGTTGATTATATAATGTCAAGTAAATATTTAATACAAAAAATCGCTAATTAAATAGAACAGATTATGTAACAAGATATAATTTTTTTTTTGAGTATAAATAATTTAATTTATTATACATATATTATAAAGTGATATCATATCGAAAAAATTAATATTAGTACCCAGTTCAGTTCTGGGTTTAGTATGATACAGTTTTGGGTCTATATAAGGACCTGACTTCACGTGACGATATGGGTACGGATCCTAATAAAACCCGCCCGGAACCAGTCTGTGCAGAACACTACCTTTAGCCCAAGATATCAAGAACCACTGGGCCGATTTTAACGTTCTAACTGCCATTTTGACCCCAAGAACCTCCTCTACAACTTTAACTAGAGCTTGAAAAGAGATTTACTTAGTAAATAAAAATCTTTTTTTTTTTATAAACCCCATCTTTTTAATATAAAGTTTATAAATTTTTTTTTAAAAGTAACACGGGCCAATGAAATACGCGGAAAAACGTCAGCAAAATTAATTAGTGACAGAATTTTGATACAGTATTCGGAACTTATACGGTTTTTGCCGTAACCGTAACAGTAACTTGCTATTTGTTGTATGGTTCACTGAAATAGTTCTGCTTGCACCTCTACTAACCACTATAAAGCCGTATGTATGCTCACATCACGAAATTTATTGCTTTACACTTCTTAATTACATTAAGCAGAAGGTTTATTATTTATATATTGATGATTTTTGTAAAGATTTTAACTTTTTTCATATGATTTCATCTTCGTAAAAAGGTTCGCTTAAAAATCCAGTATTATTAAAAATAAATATGCATAAAGCCTTGAATTTTGAACTATTACAAATTTATAATTCTCCCAAAAAATTTAAAGTGTTAATAAGAATTAAAAGTTGAGAATATAATTAAAGATCGTAAAAGTAATTTAAATCGTAAATGCGGCTGAAAGTTGAAGATATTACCAAAAACTAATATACATCATATGATAACAAACAAAAAGGAATTTTATTGTTGAATCATAATAGTTCAAATAAAAGTTTTATACAATTATTTAAGTTTTGTAAAATTATTTTTAAATCATCTGATCCACGCTTCATTTAATCGTTGAGCATAATCTGAAAAAGTGCTATTGATAGATCCATAAAATCTACTACCTTTTGATGCTACTAGCAAATCTACTAACGGTATTAGAAATTTATATAATATCATACCATCTCTAGGATTTCTTAAAAATTTTAAAGGTTCTAAAAAATCATTAAAATCATCTAATACGTAAATACATGAGAATGTTTGAAAGAATGGCTTAAGGGAAGGGTGATTACGTTTTACATCTATTGCCAGATATATTTTTTTTGTTAAACAAACGTCATCTTCAAAACCTTCTTGAATTCTTTCGATGAGACCTTTTATTGTATTCTTTCGATTTTTGATAAAGAAGCCATCTTTTAGTCTTGCATGTACACCAATATAACTATTTATTCCTCCAATTTTATTAAATATTTTATCTACAGTATAAATTAAAAGTGGATTGTTCGGTAACATTTCCCTTATTAGTTTATTCCAAAATTCAATACTTTCAGATAATTCTCGAACAATTCTAGTTTCTGAAAACACACTTGCAAAATGTATTAATTTTTCGGTTCTTTTGCTTAAATCGATTAAATTCACTCGTTCTTTGAAATTATCGAGCTCAATTGTTGACGTAGGATCATCATAATATCGTTGTTGATATCGAACATTGTCATTAGTCACATTATACACTTCTGAACTATCATAAATGCTAAGTGATTTCAATAAGTGATTAAATTCAAAATCTTGACGATGAATGTATTTAATATGATTCTTTAAAAATGTAAAGTCTATTAATTCTTCCCAATTATACATAGTGTAATTTACCATTAAGCAAGTCTTTTTACCTTCTCTAAAACAAAAAGCAATATCACATCCTGATCTGCTTTTCGAACAGTATTTAAATTGGTTTTTATCAGGACGTAAAAATTGCGTTAAAAAATTATATGTTTTATTATATGGCCGGCCCATAGCTGGTGCAATTCCTTCGAAAAGAAGAAGAGGTGGAATTATCAGAGTTCTCTTTAAAAACCATGCCAAGAATATCGCATTTTCTAATGAAATTCTTTGATTATTGAAACCATCATGGGGTAGGTAGGTTAAATATTTTTCTTCATTAGTCACAAAATTATTAACATTATAAGATTTTTCATATTTAATAAAGGTCATAACTAGAGTCATAAAAATCAAAATAAGAATAAATCGAATCTTAAGTGTTCTGAAAGACATTGAAGCATTAAAGTTCAAAAGGTTAGAGATCTTTTAACGTTAATAATAAGTTCAAATTTAAAATGCAATCTTAAATGCCACAATGTCAAGCACCCACGTACCGCAATGGACTCAATAACAAATCTGATTGGCCTGTTTGATCAAATTAGGCAATCAGATTTTTTTTATTGAATTTATTGAGGTAGTGCTTGAGAATACCCTAAATCTCGTAATAATTTTCAGTGGAAGCTATCAATTACACACTTGTGGAACATTTAATTATCGCATTATGAACCCAAAATTTTGTAGCTATACGTACATATAAAGATAATTTAAGGAGTATAGTAAATAGATGCAATAATGGCGTTATCGTGCCTATTTACCCCTTAAACTATATGTACATACGTACAATTTAGGATCAATTCAGGACCAATTCCGCAAATCCTCCGATATGATCAAAATAATAGGATAGAATTTAATGTAGATAGTTCCATAGAAATTAGGGTAATTTTTTTTTTTTTATTGATTACTGCTTATTGTGGTAGATGCATTAAACTTTTGGATAAATTTATTATACGTACGTACATGATAGCAATTCCTATATTTTAACTAAAGAATTGGTTTACACAAGCTTATTCATCAATAGTACAGTAACAAAAACCGGGCATCTTTAGGTGAATTCTTTTAATTTTCACTCTAACACCAGGCTTAACTTTATTAGCTAACCACGAGTTAATTTGTATTGAAATTGTCATAATTTCTATTTTGATTTACTGCAAAAAATTCTATCACGTTACAATACTTATGAACTATTATAGTGACACTATGTGATTAAGGGTGTTCTCAAGCATCAATCGAGATGGGATTTCATAGTGATCTAAATAGTGCACAAGTATAGTGACGTAAATTTAGCTATTGCCATAACATTTTGGATAAAGGTCAATAATACGAATAGCGATATTATTGAGATATGCTCAAACATTGCTATTACTATGATTTTTTAATAATTGTAGTGATGCTCAATTGCAACGGTAGGTCAAAATAAAGATCTCAATCACAAGTTGAGAGGATTTTAAATAGTTTATCGAAAATTTTACAAAAAATATATGCCGATAATGAAAATCCATAATAAAAGTATGAAATACTTGAACAATACTTTATTCATTTTAATATTTATAAAGTTTTGATAAGTCAGCGCAAAAAAAAAGGTGGTCAGGGACAAAAAGTTTTTTGACTGAAATGGTAAACTCACTCCTCATTTTTTACTATTTAAAATTTTTTTTCACGTAATAAACTCGATTAAAATTACTTTCCGTTAATTAAAATTTAATTCCCGACTCATTTTTGACATACTTTGATCCATTAATTGAGGTGCTTGAGAACGCCATAAATATATATTGGAATTAACATGATTTATATCGTAATTTAACATAAAAATTTTGTTAAAAGCTTACAGCTATTGCAATAACCCACAGTATGTATTGGAATTATGGTCACTATTTCTATCATAACTTATTGTAAAAGAAGTTTGTTACTAAAACTTACAAACTTTTGTGATGATACACAGTATGCAGTTAAAATTGAATTGGTTCGTGTTGGAATTATAGTCGTAAATTCTATCATGATCATTGTAAAAAATTTTATTATAAAAGTTGCTTTCATGATACACAGTTTGTGTTGGAATTACAGTTCTGATTTCAACAATAAAATTATTTATTGCAAGCAATTTTGCTACGAAACTTGTTGTCATAACAGTATGTGATTAAAGGTTGAGTTAGTCTGTATTACATTTACGGTCATAAATTTTATGATTTGCTATATAAAAAATTTTTTTTACAAACTTACTAGTAACAGAGAAAGATTGTGGCTCAGAATGATTTAACCATTTCGTCAAACCTGTAAAGTATGTCATATGTGCCGAATATGGCAGAAAAGGCAGAAATCAAAGATCAGGAATAAATGGTGGGCCAAGTAGATTTTAAAAAAAAATAATAATTAACAATAAAAAAATATGTAAGAACCCAAAGTACTTTTGCAAAATAAAGTAGTATACCTTCAGAGTTCTAACTTCGAAATAAAGTCTAGTAGAAGTTATTGTTATTTCTAGTATTCTTTATTGAATTCTTAAATTATGCATCAAAATTTTCTTGTTCCCATGACATAATACTATTAATATTTCATATAATAAGGATTTGAAAGAAAAGAATTAGATATTAGTAATCAGTGTCTTTATATATTAACAATGAATTGATTAAACCCTTTATAGCCTCCATTGTTCAAATACATACCTAAATCATGATCTGTAACCACATGACAATAGGGTACCAATCATAAATTGAGACCCTGGCACAACTAAAGAGTAAAAATTATCATAAGCAGTATATTATTAAACTAAAATAATAAATAAAAGAGACAATGGAATACACAATTCAATTGTTTAAGAAATAAAATTACTTAACAGTTAGCCCATAACTACTGCAGTAAACATCAGACATCTATCGTTAAACCAAATTATTCCATGCCTCAATCGAAGCCTACCAATTAGAGTATCGAATTAGGTATAATAGTGCCTTTTAAGTTGCGTGATGACTCACTTGGCCTAATTCTGTTCCTGCCATTTTTTATTGTTACAACATACAACATGTGGTTGAGTTAGCTTATATTGGAATTAACAGTCATGATTTCTATCAGGATTTGTTATTAGAACTTGCCATTGCAGTATATAATTGAGTTGGTTTGTATTGGAGTTGACAGCCGTGATTTCTGTCATGATTTACCATGAAAAATTATGTTACAGAACTTACGTGCTATTGCAATAACACACAGTATGTGGTTGAGTTAATTTGTATTAGAATTAACAGTCGTGATTTCTATTGTAAAGCAGATTTACTTGCTATTGTTGACACACAGTGTGTGATTAAAGTTGATTTAGCTTGTATTGAAATTAACATTCATGATTTCTATCATGAACTTTTGTTACAAAGCTTACTGACTATGGTGGTGACAGTACGTTTTTGAGTTAGTTTGTGTTGAAATTAATAGTCGTAATTTCTACTATGATTTATTATAAAAACTTTTTTATAAAACTTGCTATTGCTGTGTTTAGTTGAGATAGTTTGTATTGGAATTAACTGTCATGATTTCTATTGTGATTTACCGTAAAATTTTGTTACTAACATGTTAGCTATTGCAATGACACAATATTTTTTTGAGATAGTTTGTATTGGAATTAACAGTTTTAATTTCTATCATGATTTACTGTAAAAAATTGTTATAAATTATTACGGTGACAAAATATTAAAATGTGGTTAAATTAGTTTGTATTCGAATTAACAGTCATGAATTATCATAATTTACTATAAAAAAAAATTTTAGTACGAAACTTTACTTGACACCCAATATTTAGTGAGACGTTGTCAGGCGAGTCTGTCGCTAAATCGAAATAGGAGTCGTGTAACCAAAGGTTAGGTTACTTTGGGTCGAAAGAGGCGTGTTAGATTTGGGTGAGTGGTTTAGAAAAGAATGTATGTAGTTAGTAGGACCTGTTTATTCATCTTTTCAATTTCATTTATTTATCGCTTATGTGTCTTTGATCAAATTTTACTAATCACAGATCATCTAGATGGTGTCTGATTGCACGATTGTCCGAAATATTTACTCATTCACAAAAATTGCGTTTAATTTTTATTACGAAATTCACTCTACAATTACAAAATTTGATCAAAGGTACATACATCATTTTGCAAAAGCGATAAATAATAAAATTTAAGTTGAAATTCCTTTTGAACATGAAAGTTTGCTATGTTGTGAATGATGAGGTAATTATTATATAGTCTTTAATTTGGTTATTTAATTGAATGAATTTCACTTAAATGATTGTTAAATCTAGATATAAGCAAGAGCAAATTACAACTTTAGAATTTCAGGTTTGATTTCAATTTTAAAATATATTTTGTATTAGAGCCGCTAATATTAGAATATGGAATGAGTTAATCCTCTATAAATGTACTATTTTTTTTCATGACTTTCCGTCTATGAGTGCAAGTCATTTGATCAGTAATTATCAGAATAATTTTGGGCTTCCTGTTGCTATTACGCTTATGATGTGTTTACTATAACATGTGGCATTGTTGTATCCGTGTAGCTACAAATTTTGTTTCACTTGAATAATGTCCATATCTCTTTCTAGATTGAAGTTCCTTTGTTAACACTACGGAATTAATCCAATTGGCATATAAAAAAAAAAAAAAACTCATGGTTCACTTATTGTATACCAATTATTGTCTTTAACTAAATGAATATACAGTTACGCAACTAAACTTAGCATATGGCCAAATTTTACTAAAATGGCATTATTAATTCTAGCGAATTATGTATTATAACAAATTAATGTCTGGGAAATTTTATTTTAATACGTAGAGCACTGGTTTATCGGTAAAAATTTGTGTGAATTTATAAAATTTGTACAAAATAAACTACTAATAGTTGTTTCTATTTAATAATAAGCTATTATTATTTTTACTTTTTTTTTTTATAAATATTGATATGGTAGATATATAGCTAAAAAAACCTATCAAAGCCAATTAAAAAATCTATAAATTATAAATATTTATTTTTGTAATTATATACTGTATATATTTGTATATTGTATATGATTAAATATTATATATATTTATATATTTATTGTCTAATATAAATTTAAAATTTTTTGCTCCGGACGTACACTGGTTTCCAGTTCCTAGTTATTATTATTCTTATTATATAAATAAGCTTACAAATCAAAATAAATAAGATTTATGTTCGAAATAAATATATCGCTAATTTAATTCGAAATCAAAAAAAACATGATACTTAGTTCTGAATCACCCTATTGAATGATTTCTCATATAATTATTTCATTTCAAGCCCTAAATCGATTTAGGGTTTGAAATGAAATGATTGAAATTTTGAATTCAAAATGAAATGAAATAAAATACGATATCGAAATTATATTTTGTATAATTTTATTGTAAGGATTTAATTTTAGTTGCTTTAATTTTAACAGTGGTTAAATAAAAATTTGTGGTGATTATGGATATAAGTCACGGGTGTTTGCTTTAACAGTAGAGTTCTCTATTTTCGAGTTACATGTAATAGTAAAATGAAAAGTATCCTTGCAACTGATTGGATATCATGCATCACGTGTTTGTAATAACCTTAATTTTTATTCGTAATCTTATTGTCTAGTAGTATATCGGTTCCAGTGAAAACTTCACTGGGACACTGGAAGTCTAGTGAGGTACTTCCAGTCAACAACACTGGTCTAAATTACAGTACAGGATTCATTAAAATATGTCATGTGCATGATTCTCAAAATTCGTGAAAATTCGTGCGCATGCTATCACTAGTTCTAATGATAATTGACAGGCTTGAATATTCTTCAGAAGTAGCTTTTATGTAATAAAACGAGGAATAAACTAATAATTTGAGTAGAGTAATTGTAAAGTTTAATAATACATAAGTTAATAATTGTTGGTGAAATTTATGTGGCATTTAATTAGTCTTACAATCAGCCCATCCAGTCTCGGTCCTAATCAGTCCAGGACCGCAGTCCGGTCTAACTTTTTAAAACACTGCCAGTCTTTGGACCAAGACGGACCGGACGGACCAATTAATAGCCCTACTAAGTACAATTATGGTCATAAATGTTATTGAAATCATCCTGAAAGTTGAACCGACATCAAAGATCAAATGTATAAAAGAGAGAGAGATGAAGACATAATAGTTCAACAATATTTTATGCAACTATTAATTATCTAATCCATATTTCATTTAATCGTCTAGCATATCCTGAAAAGGTGCTCGATTTACTTCCATAAAACTTATTGCCTTTTGATACTACTACTAAATCTACTAACGGTATTAGAAATTTATACATAATCATACCATTTTGGGGATTTTTTAAAAGTTTTAAAGGTTCTAAAAGATCATTAAAGTCATCTAGTACGTAAATACATGAGAATGTTTGAAATAGAGGTCGAAGGGACTTGTGATCTCGTTTTACATCTACTGCCAGGTATATTTTTGTTGTTAAACAAACGCCATCTTTAAAATCTGTTTGAATTTTTTTTATGAGTCCTTGTACTGTATTATTTTGTCTCTTGGCAAAGAATCCATCTTTTAATCTAGCATGTACACCAATGAAACTATTCATTCCTCCAATCTTATCAATGATTTTATCTACAATATTATTTATAATTGGATTATTTGGTATCATGTTCCTCATTAACTTATTCCAAAATTCAATACTTTCAGATAATTGTCGAACAATTCTATTTGATGAAAATAAACTTCCAAAATGTATTAGTTTTTTGGGTCTTTTGCCTAAGTCGATTAAATTCACTCGTTCTTTGAATTTACGGAGTTCGATTGTTGATGTAGGATCATCGTAGTATCGTTGTTGAAATTGATTTTTGTCTTTAGTCACATTATACACGTCTGAACTATTATTAATATGAAGTGATTTCAGTAAATAGTTAAAATCAAAATCTTGACGATGAATATATTTAATATGTTCTTTCAAAAATGCAAAATCTATTAACTCTTCCCAATTATATGTAGTATAAGTTACTATAATGCAATTCTTTTGACCTTCTTGAAAACATAAAGTGTTATTACATCTTGATATGCTTTTACAGTGTTTAAATTGATTTTTGTTAGGATGTATAAATTGTGATAAAAATTTGGATCTTTCATTAAATGACCGACTTATATGTGGTTTAACTCCTTCGAAAAAAACGAGAGGTGGAATTATTAGAGTTCTGTTTAAAAACCATGCCAAGAATATAGAATTTTCTAATGCAATTCTTTGGTTATTGAATCCATCATGTGGAAGGTAGGTTAAATACTTTTCGCTAAAATATCAAAATCATCAGATTCTTGGAAGAGTTCGTCTTTAATAAAATAAAAGCTCACAAATAGAATCAAAAAAAATAAAAATAAATCGAGTCTTAAATGCTTTGAAGGGCATTAAGTTATTGAAATTCAAAAGGCTCCCGATTTTTGTCATGTTAAGTTCAAATGAAGACAGCACTTTTGTGAATTTTAATCAATCAAATTACAAGATCAGATGTAACGCGAAAAATCAGTTTTTAAGTTAGAATGAGGAAGATTGTAGTTTGATATCTCGATTTTTGCCAGAAACAGAGTTATATATACCACGAATTACCAGGAACGGAGTAATATATATCCAGAATTACCAGGAACATATTTATCACGAAGTGTATGGTTAATAGGCACTATTTTTTATCTCTTTTAACAGGTTTTTATTTAAATTAAAAGTGAATGAAGATCATTTATAAAAATGTTGTTTTTCAAATAAGTATCTTCAGAACTTTTTCTTATTTGATCAACGTCGCGGATCATAATTAAATCGGATTAAAATGAAAAAATCTAGTAAAAATGTGTTCGGAATAAACAAATCTGATTGGCCGGTTAAGGTTAGTGCTCCGAACGGGTCGGGTTGACATACTTCGGGTTAGAGCTTCAACCGGACCCGAAATTTTAGGGTTAATATATTAAATTTTTTAAAAAAATGAATTCGCAACCACAGTGAGGATTAGTGTTGGTATCATACGCATGGGAATATTTCAGAGGTTTGAAATTTTCGGAACTTCATAATTCTGGTCCGCATTAGCAGCAAGCTGCCATAATGCGGGCCAAAATCCCATGTGCATGAAATTTGAAAAAAAACTCTAATTGTCAAACACTAGTAAGAATAGTGCACTGCATATTTAGAAGCGACGAAAATTATTTTTATTTATCTATGGATTTATAGAATTGATATAAAAAAAATATATTTATTGATTTTAGGTTGGTAGTTATTGAGATATTATCGTTCAAAGTTCAATAAAAAAAATTAGGCGATTATTAAAAAAAGAATGCAGTTAATTTTCTAACTTTGATCGATAATATCTCCACCTAAAATCGAAGGAAGTTGTTTTTTTATGTATATACTGTGGGCAGTGTATAAAATCTGAATTACAAAACATGTGCACAATGTGCACAAGGTAAAATTTTATATGTAAAGATAAAAAACATGTGCACACGAGCACATTGTGCACATTGATTTTATACACTGACTGTGGGTCAGAACTGAGTTATTTCGCACATAGTTCGAAAAAGTATATAATATTGTTAACAGGGATCGTTAATTCCATTTAGCATGAGATATCGATCGATATGCACCAATCAAATCTCTTCGAAGGATCAACTCAATTTTAATTTGTGTAATATTTTTTACGCCAAGTATTAGCAGAATGTGGTTTCATAGTAAAAATTTGTCTAGCGATCCATATGGGCTGATTTGGCTCCGATCACTATGTAAATTTTGTGATGATCGTGAACTAAAAATTAATCTCATGATCAGATGATCAAATTGCGCCAATCAAATAAATTTATTTTGGGATTATTACGAATTTGTCCTACACTAAAAATCAATATCACGATCAGATGATTTCTAAACCAATCATAAACAATTATCTCTCTTGAATCTACTCGCAATCGCGGTTTGTAGATGGGTTGTAAATGGGTTTTTGTTGAAATGAGTAGAAATGAGTAGAAATAAGTAGAAATAGGTAGAAATGAGCGAAAGGTATTGAAACTAAAAATATTAGCTTTTAAATAAGATTTTATATCAGGCTTTATGTCTTTTATATATATATATATATATTTTAGCATCTTCGTATTTACAAACCTCTTTTTTTAAATTTTAGGCTATCATGCTAAATTATAAATACATAGAAGAACGAGAAACAAAAATTTTGAAATATTTATTATGGGACAAATATTTTTTAAAAGTACAAGTGTAAAGTGAAATACTCTTTGTGAAAATATTGTAAAAATATTACGAAACCAATTTCGAAAATAATAGCGTTCAATATTCATTTTCTAAGAAACTTGTCATATGTTTTTTAAATTAGACTTGCTATGTTATTTTTAATAAATTTATTATATTTCTTATCTAGAAGAATTATATATTAAAAGGCTTAAAAATTATCCTTCGTTTGATAAATTTGTGTGCAATTTATATTATATATATTTACAGTATCAATGCCATAATGTTTCTAAACCAAATGATCACATCATGTGATATAATCGAATTGGAGCCAAATCAGCCCATATGCTTACTAATGTCTATCATTTGAAGAAATCTGATTGGTGCATATTTGTCTGTCATTAACGATGACCTATATGATCTTTATGACTAGTCATAGGTCATTTGGTCATAATGAGGTTTAATATGACTTATGGCCTTATTTAATACAGTAAGAATCATAGTAAAAAAAAATTTATTAGCATTTACAGCTGTTTTCATAAATTCTGGGACACCCTAAAAAAATAGGTGGATAAGTGGTGGCAGAAACGATCCTCGGTCCCGTGATTTCCGAACCAAATAAATCCAATAGATCATCTATCAAATGCGTAATCAGTTCTAAAAAAAGTTATAGCGCTACAAAACAAGTTAATATTGGTATACATAGATTCAAACGGAGTTCAAAAAATAAAAAAATACTTATAAATAAGTATTTTTTATTTGAATATTTCTACTTGCCGCCGGCGGCGATTGTCACCGGGTTGCATTTGGCCAATGATATCGCAGGATCAGGTGTAACGTTTGTGGAACGTTAAGCAAAGAAAACTTTAAAAAATTGTGTTGGCTCAAAATTTTGCATATGAAACCACCCTTTGTATTCTAGTAAAAAAAATTCCTTGTAAAATTTTACTATAAAATATGCTACCCAACACTGACTTAATCTTGATTCTAACACTAACGCTAATAAATTTTAGCGTTTGTTTTAATTTTGCTGGTTGGTCAAATACAATCCGGTGATGATCGCCGCCGGTGACACTAAGTTTTTATCTTTTTATTTTTTGAACTCTATTTGAATTTGTGTATACCAATATTAACTTGTTTTGTAGCGCTATAACTTTTTTAGAACAATGTTGATTACATTTGATAGATGATCTATTAGATTTATTTGGTTCGGAAATCACGGGACCGAGGATCGTTTCTGCCACCACTTATCCACTTAAAAAAATTCGCCGAAGTCTATTCGGCCGAATTCGCTAAGTTATTGGTTTCGGTATGGTCAGCGCGTGATCAGTATATAAAAAAATATTGAGTTACTATTACAGCACATTGTTTGATCAATATTATATTACATTCGCAATGTCAACTCTTTCAACACTTAATTAAAAATTTTTTTTTGCCTTATCCAATATGCACGATACAAAAATTTATGCCAAAAACTGTTCTTGCCAATTAATAGATCTTCACTAAAAAAGTTTTGAACATAAGTTGGACTTTCTTAATAAACATATAACAGCCTATAATTTAAATGATTTATAAATAAAAACAAAATTTTATACTTCAATTTCGTTTTGTGAATCTTTTTATTATTTAATTATCTTTGTAACTTATAGCATAGCAAACTTGTTTATTAAATACAAAGAAAATTTTGTAAATTTGACTTTTAATACGTAACACTCCATATTACACGAGTAGGCACTAATTAAAAAAAAGTTAAAATACGATCAAGGTTGTCTGCAACACAAGTTGAAATCAAAGGTCAAGATTTATTAATATTTCTTAATAATTATAATAAAGTTCAAAGTATGTAGAATGTTTATTTAAAGTGATGATGATTCATCAACACAGCCATACTTTTGAAATTGTTTGAGAACTCGACCCACAGAAGACCGCTCTTTTCAACTATTTTCTAACGAATATGTTTTGAAAAATCTTAGTAACAAATAAATATGTATTATGCATTTATATATGTATAGCACCAAGATAAATAGCATATAGAATTCGGCCGAATAGACTTCGGCAAATTTTTTTAGGGTGTCCCAGAATTTATGAAAACAGCTGTAATGCAAAAAGTCATAGGTCTTTACCTTGAAAATCAAGTTATGACATTTCCCGATAGAGTTAATTCGGACGAAAGCGGACCAAATTCCGGAGTTGATTTTATAAACGAATGCAGTTTATGTCAGTTGTGATTTACGCGTAATTAAAACTAACATTGGCTGTCAATATGAACATGTGATGTAAATATTCAGTATTTATCATCAAAATGGCAGTCTCCATTGGAGGGCGAGGTTGGTGATTATTGACGCAGGATCAGGATCGCACTTCCCTTGAATTCGATTTTATTTTCACAGCAACCTTTATTGTTTTTGGGTTAACAATTATTGTTTATAGGAGGTTATTTAAATCATACCTGATATGGTCGTGACTGTTTCTGCTACTGGTTTTACGAAGGAATATTGCCTCTGCTTAGCATCTTTTCGGTTTGCTAACTTAATGTCGACTCTAATGATTAGCAAAATCTTTCGCTCTTATCTTTGACGATCATGAACTTGATCATCATTTTTATGTCTAAAAATCATGTCTTTACTATTGTATGGTAAGGCATTTACAATTTCCTAGGTGTGTAGTCAGCTGTTTTTTTTTTTTATTTATTTATTTTTTATTTTATTCTCACTATAATTTTATTTCGCTTCGTATTCTCATGTATAAAAGTACTTATGTATGTACGCACGTACAGTACGTGTAACAAAAATAAAGTAATGTGGATTCACATACGCCAGAAATCCAACCAATCAAAATATCTAGCCAATCAAATCGCGATTTGAAAACTGTGTATTGTATATAGATAGCACTGCACACCTAGTTAGAGGTATTACCTGGGTCAGTTGACCCGTACGGGTCACAGATCGAAAATTAATCTAACCCGGGTCAAATGGGTCAGGATTTAAAATAGGCAAAATTTACAAAATAATATTTTAATGTGTATTATATATTGTACCTATATAATCATATTGATAGATTACAATTTTATTAAAGCTCTTACTGAGACAGTACGGGACAGTTTCTGAGTCAAAAATTGGATCAAGTAGTATGGATAAAGACTAATAAACTCGGATTGCTCAAAGAAATTTTTGATACCGTATAAGCGCGAAATAACGCTCATGAGCGTTATTTTGAAAATAAAATTCTTCAAAAATAGTTTATGTGGTCTCAAATTAGCATCCATTGGCGTTCTGAATTAACGCGGAGTAGCATATAGGGTCCGGAATGGGCGGGTTTCAATTAGGGTTGGTAAAGTCCTTAGGTCCGGGACTTTAGGACCTGGTCTTTAAACCTGGTCTTTAAAGACCAAGTCCAAAT